TTGTGAAAAATAGCATGAAGGCATATTGGTATAATGGTAAATAACCAGTTAAAGGTTCTTAAGAAATTTAGCCAAGTGGAAAGTTTGTAAAACAGGGTGTGATTTCCGAATTCAAACGTGGTCATAAATAATTGGAGTGTCAGATAGACACGCACTAGGTATATTCCTAGTTGAGCTCGCCAACGAACCATCTGTTATAAATAACATTAATTTCACATCACATATCATGCAACTGCTCACCAAGCGTGACAAAATGCGTTTGTGGCAAATGCCATAGTATTTGGTTTAGTAATTAAAGCTCGTGTTGCAAAAATCCGAAGAGCAATTAACCCACCGGTTCCTCGATGACTGTTTAAACGCAATTAAACTACATAAAAATCGCAGCAAACATTGCTAAAACGTGCCGTCCTGTTCAAATTGAATTTTTGTTTGACAAAAAAATGAAACGACAAGGTGAAACCTTGGTAAATATTTGTCTACAGACGAAGTATTCTTGGATGTTATGACCGCAACACCAAACATATGCTCGTAATGAATGAACAAAAGCTGGACTAATAACGATCAAGTGGCAGAGCAGATAGACCGGTCTTGGGTAAAGTTGAATTGTATGGCCGTATATGTCGTGGATGGCGATAATAATATTCTGTAATTACTGCCTGACTAGCGATGGATAATGATGCTACATCCGGCAAAAGCAAGGGATTAGCGAGGTTTAAACGGACAAAATTGTTTCTTTCTTGTACATTTTTGATTTTTTCCACGTTCTTTGAAACACTATATAGTATTTCTGAACCAAAAAATTAATCTCCGTCCTCTGGTCTGGTTCAATCATTGAGAGTACACTTTACTTTCTTATTTTCCATCTTTTATTCTTTTATTATTTTTATATTATTTTCTTCGTTAGACACTTTTGATTTTGAAAGAAGAAACAAATCATTTTATTTTTTTCTTTATACAGGGTGTCCCAGCGAGTTGAAATGGTAAAATTAAAAAAAAATATATAGGACATTGATAGATACTAACTAATCTAATCCATCGCCTAAAATTATTTTCAACTATACAGCGTGACTTAAAAATATGTTCCAATACAAACTTGTGTTTTTTTAAATAAAACACCATATGTTTCTTAGCGTTTTTGCAAAGTAGATTTTAATGACAATGTTTTAAAGGTACACTTTTATTGGTCGATTTTGTTTAGTTTCTTTTGACGAAAACATGCACTTTTTAAAAATTTATTACACAAAAACTGAGACAGCTAGAAATATTTCTTTTTACTACCACAAAGAAGAAGGTACAAGCTACAAGGTTGTAACATTCTTTTAGTGTGTTGCATTTGCAAAGATAAAAAAATAAGGGCGTTTGTTAAAAGTTCAATAATTTAAAGAATTTTAATTGAACACCCTAGTTATTGTTTTTGCATATAAAAGATTATTAAATTGTCTTCTAAAAATATTTACTTTTATGTGTTTATAATCAATAACTAAAAAGATATTTAACGTTAAACATAAAAAAATACTATTGTTTTAGTAGCCAAAAAATGCATAGTTGCACAAGAGATGGAAGAAATATCACTTAATAATCACATTTGTGTTAAACCGAATCCATTACTCTTTATTTTTACAATAAAATAATTCGAATTTCAGTGTTTATAACGACTTTGTACAATCTTTGGATAAATCAACGGATAAGTGATCCGTGGTGAAATTACTTTGGTTGTTATAGTATCAACAATGCTCAGATATTGATAGGCATTGTTGCTACAATTAATATTTAATGTTAAATATCTTTTTATCAATTCTAGATATTAAAAGTTAATTTTTTTAGATACAGAAGTTATCAATCTATTAGATAAATAAAACATAGGGTGTTCCATTAATTTTTTTTAAGTTATTTAACTTTTAACAAACTTCTTAATTTATTAATCTTTACAAATGCAAAACACTAAAAAAATTGCTACAGCTTTATATTCTGTACTTTCTTCTTTGCAGAAGTAAGAAAAAATTTGTTCAAGCTGTTTTAGTGTTTGTGTAATAAATTTTTAAAATGTGCATGTTTTCGTCAAAAAAAAAACGTCTTATTTCTAAAACTAAGCAAAATCGACTAATAAAAGTTTAGCGTAAAAACATTGTTTTAAAAGACTACATCCAAAAATGCCAAAAAACATACGATGTTTCAATAAAAAAAAAAACACAAGTTTGTATTGTAACTTATTTTTGGGACATGCTGTATGGTTGAGGTGATGCACTAGATTAGTATCTATCAATGTCTTATACATGTTTTTTTTTAATTATACCATTTTGCAACTCGCTGGAACACTCTATTTGTTTCTTCTTTTGGTTTCATTTTCTTCTTCCTCTTTCTGTCTACACAAAACAATCACATCCTTTGCCCTAACCAATTAATTATCACGTCTCTTCCGCTGAAAGTTAGTTTTAAAAGGCCACAACACCAGTTCGGTGCAAAGATAATTTTTCAAGGTGCATCTACACCATTCATCACTGATTTTTTACGTTTGCAAAACAAGCGAGTTGGTAATAAATACAACAAATAAGTCAGGGTTCAGTTCATGTTGCTCGCTCATGAATGAATATGAATTAAAAGTGACGTGGGCGATGTGAAAATTTTATTAGTGTTGACTCAAATACTTAAACGAGATGCGGCTTTGAATAGACGACGTGTGTTTGCATACTTATTAAAAATTAGTATTTGCTTCAATTTATTTAGACAAAATTCAACGTTTTCGTCAGTCTTAGTCACCACCAAGGCCAAGAACCGATTTTAGAACTCTTGAGACAACAAAGGTCATCGTTTATTTGCATCTTAAATTATTATTTACTTTGACCGTTTCTACCACTACCACCTGTTGTCATCATTGAAATTTATTTCCCTTTGGGTGTTTTTAGTCCCAACCGTCTAGACCACAAATAACATATGTGCAAAGTCTCTGCGATACAGGGTGTCAACATTCACCGTTCACATGTTTGGATTACTTGTTTTGTTTATAAATTCCGGGCTTTTTGTCCGGATTTTAACTGTGTAAACTTTGTAAAACGACCTTTTTTCCAGTTTGCTGTTGAAATTATTCAAATAAACAAGATTTTATTACTGACTTCCGTCACTAACCCTTCTTGGTGGCCTTTAAAATGTCGGACAATAAATATCACTCGAATTAAAAATTTTGCACGGTTGTAACCCAAAATATCGGTCAATTTAAAGGCTCCGAAGCTGGTTTCATTTATATAAATATGGAAATTAGCATCACAGACGAAAATTTTGAAAGTAAATTGTCTGAAAGAGATTGATGGAAGTACCTTACACAATGCGCTAGACTATAAATTGATGGCGATTTACATAATTAATAGTTACAACTTTAAGATAATTACTCTAATGTATCAAAGTCGCTTTTCTTTCAAAAATTTATAACTACGTTCCCGTTTGCTAAAAAGTATTTTTTTCGTTTCTGGCAATAAATTATTAGGTATTGTCACAACAGAAATACCTCCTTTAGAATTTTGTCTCCAGTCGAGCAGCATCCAAAAAATCCAATAAATCATAAAACTGTACTTGCTTTCTTTTGAAACTGTTAAGCATGCAATTAATGTGAGCTTCATCTTCAATACATTAGCGTGATTCACAATTTCGGGTCGTAAATTAAATCTTTTGTAACCAAGGGTTGTAAAGAATTTTCTGCATCAATAGTCCTTTATTCGCGATTTGTGTTGTTGACTTTTTTTGAAAAATGACTAGACTGTGTTGGGTCTCCACTGCTTTAGATAACCCGGTACACTAGAGATAAGATTAACAATAAATACTTGTTATCGGATATTGTTGAAGTAGAAATGTTGTGGAAATGTAATCCGTTTTTGCCGACAGGCGCCCATGCAACCTTATCAGGAAGATAGAGCGTCATAATCCTTTTAAAATTATAATATTGATCAAAAAAGTGAGATTCTAAACATTCTGACACAAAAAAATCCAGTAGACCACATCATGGTATAATATAGTAGACGGTTTTAAGGCAATAACCGATTTAACCTTCAAATTGCAAAAATACAAAGCTAAAACCTTGAATACTGACATTTAGGAGCAATCGCGCATATCCAACTGTTTCTAGTAACAAAAACAAATTTTTACAATTTCTGCCATCACATCATTCAACGTGCAAAACCCCATTAATAATTTAAAGTCACGAAGTGCCTAAGCGCGAGTGCATTAAAACAATAACATGGCCAAGGTTAAATTTACCATATTTCACATAATAAAACCGCTGATGTAATCCACAACTCTAACACCGATCGTAGCCTTTGGCTTTGAATTTTTTCCGCCTCCACCTGAAATTTTCTCAACGATTAATTAGCCACGCAACGTTCTGGTTTCTGAAATTTATGTTCTTTTGGAAAAGCATCGTTCTAAATCAATTTCAAGCACTGAAGCGGATCGAGTAAATACTGAAAATCTAGTTTCAAATACAAATCATCGTAAAGAAATAAGTAGGTCTGTGTGTACAAGAACCGATGGATATTATTTGCTTGAAATGACGTATTTATGGGCCAAAAATACAAATTCATTCAATAACTGGTAGAATAACAACACACTTGACCTGTGCCAACACTAGAAGGTCAATAATTTCATTAAAATATTTTAACGCTCTGATAAGGTTAAAAATTTGTTATTTGTAGTTTTCATGGTTGTGCAATCTGTGAAGAAATGAAGTGACAGTGCATTTAATCTTTATTAAAATATTTTACTATTAAATATTAATATCGTCCTGTAATAGCCACCGCTATGTACACGACACGCTGGGATTGCCATTAATTAAAAATATAATTATAACAGTGAATTATAATGCATTTATTAACTCGATATCAATGTGCAGTTTTTAGATAGAGTTCTGAAAATTAAAAAGTGGGTCAATTGTTTTAATCAAGATTGGAGATTGAGAAGTTTAGCCCTCACCAAATAGACCGGAAAATCCATAACTTTCCAAAAATCGGACTCACCTAGAAAGCTCAAGCTGAGACCACTTCCCGGTTTAGTCTTATGCACTTGACTCGTCATGGCTAAAAGTCCTCCAGTTACATTGTAAGGGCACTGAACTGCACATGCACTCTGCGGAAGATTCCGGTAATTAATGAAGGAAAGTGGCGCCGGATCGGCCAGATCTGAGTCTTCTTGAAGACTTGCATACTTGAATTTTCTCACACGATTTTACAAAAATACCAAAGACAAGGTTTCAAGGTTATAATCACTGCTACTGAAGTAGTAAAGACTATTATTAGCCACAATAAGGCTATTGTAACAACAACGTCCTTTTTTCCTTTTGTGTATAACAATTGAGAGGCTTCCTAAGCTTCTCAACAGGACAAAGACTCTCCAAATACCATTTCTACAATTAATTTTCAAGAATGTTGTCTCTAGATCTCTAACAAGGTTTCAGGATCATTAAGCCATTATTTTAAGTAGCGTTTTACGAGACACATTCATTATAAATATTTGTATGAACATGAATATTTATTATTAGATTTTCGATAGTATTATTATGCTTAAATTAATTAAAATTTTTAAGCACATTGTCTAAGAAACAAATTTTTGTACTAGATTAGATAAGTTGACAAAAAAATGGCGCGCCTTAATAAATTTGTTACGTCCACCCAACATGACAGGAAACAGATGTTATCCACCTGTTCAATTTTGATAAATTCATTTGCAAAACTGCATATTCACAACGAAATTGTGAACTTGAAACTATGTAATAAGAAGCGATAATTTGGAGAAAGTGGCCTCCGGGGAATAAAATAAACAAAAATTTGTGAGTTAAGTGACGCCAAGGCTAATTTTCAACGTGGAGTCAAATAGTGGCTTTGGCAAGATTAGAATTAGATCAACCTACTTCACTGAATTTGATATACTGGGAAAGGCTTTTTTTTATCAAGCCGACTGTTCTATCAAATTCCAGTTTCGAAAACCTTTCTTTATTGTTAATCTTGATCTTGATTTATGTCAAATAAAAGTGAAAATACAGGATCGTAAAGACCTCTCAGAAGCTTTCATCAAATATTAGCTGTGTATTTACTACATTTTTGTTAGGTGTTATCAAGAATGAATGAGTTGTGAAACATTCCCCCTCTTATACAATACTCGAATCTATTTAACAGCATCAGTAAAAATTTGATTTTTGGTATTGAGAATTAAGTAGACACACAAATATTTAGTTAATTAGTTAAGAAAGGCCATAATCCCCTCAAAGTTTTATTACCTGTCATAATTTGCTCCTGTTAAAGCTCGCTCAGAACCGGTTAAATGACTTACATGCTAGTCCTAATCCAAAAAAATCACTCGATTGTTACTCTCAACACACAAAAGCTCCACTAAGGCACAAAACCCGCTTGAAGCAAGCAGTTTTCCCACGTTTTTCGGCGAGAAAGCGCCACGAACTACCGCTCACAACCATAACTGAATGAAAACTGAGCGGTTCGTAGAACCGAGAGCCAAGCAAAGTCAATTGCGAGGCTTCGTCATAACACAGCGAGAGTTCAGCTTCATGTCTGGCTGCAGATTAGAGAATCTTGAACCGATCGAAAGCTATTTCCTCTAAAAATCCAACTTTGGGAAAGATTTGGGCGTTCCAACATTGGTTTGAGCTTTTAGGTGAGTCACTGACAGATGATAATGCTTTTGTGTGAGCCGCCTTTGAATAGATGTCAAATTAGATGTTCTACCAAGTGGTACAGGTTGGGATGCGGGAACACCATAAGGTGATGGCCAGTTTTAAACACTTTTAAGACTTGTTTCCGATTCGGGGTTTTCGTGCTGACCCAGTTGTTGCGTGTTTGCAGGTTAAAGACAGTTTTCGTCAAAAAATTTAACCGAGGAAGAGTGAAAACGAAGGAAAAATGAGTAAAAATAACATCACAACATTCCAGTCAAATTTTAATTTTTAAATTGATATTAACGAAAAAATGTTTTAATTAATTTTATCTATGATAGGCAATAAATAATAAGATAAATCCTTGCTCTTATCACTCACTGTTCTAAATATGATTAAATTAGCAATAAAGCATCTTATTTTTCGTGTTTAAACAAGTTTAAAGGTTAATCCAACCACGCTGCTCGCGGATATTTAAAAAAAGCGGTGAGTCAAAATATGGGTCACTCAAACGTTGACAAAAAAGGAAGTTTAGTAAATATTAAAAATTTGCATACTTCCTACACATTTATGAACACAAACCTACTCATTCACTCGAAAATCCCATTTCGCAACGGCAAAATTTCATTAAACACCATTTGAAAAAGTCATCAATGAGAGAAATTTTGCAAAACATTACGGAAAAGTCGTAAAATACTTTCAATATGTCACCACGTCACGTAACATTACGTAGGTGTAACATCTACATAAACGTAGAAAAGTCACGAGGCCTACGATTGAACTGTATTTAGCAATTTGAGTAAATCTGCAATCCCACACAAAAATTTCGATTCTCGTTTATGGAGACATGAAGCCCAATTATGCACCGAAATGCATTTCGCAAAGTACGACTGATCTTATTTAAAAAAATCTGGTGTGAACATCACACGACTTTCCTTATCGTACTTATTCGGAAAAGATCTTTTCGACAATAATTGGAAATTCGAGTGCCAACCTAACGTTTGCGTTAGTGCCACCTGCCGGATTACACGTGAAATAGATCATAGTTGTGTGCAATTTGGTTTTAGTTCGCTACCCATAATTATTTTTATTTTATCACAGTTTACTATTTAATAAGGGATATTTCATGATTTTAAATAATTTTTATCCTCATATCCTTACAGTGCGACCGATTTTTACCAAATGTTTCGTGCTGCGTCCCCTTCTTACATACCAAATTTCATGTTTCTAGTTCTTATCATTCTCTAGATATGCTGTTTACAGACAGACAGACGGACACACACACACACATGACCCAATGGCCCAAACCAACTTTTTTGGTGTCTTGAAGTTATAATTCGTTTAGAAATGTAAAAATCAGAAACTGAAATTTCACAATTTCGCAATGAGTCAGCGTCTGGTCATCCTCTTGGTGCCGGAAACTCCTCCTGGTATCCCGACTAGGTCGTTGCGAATTGCGGTGCCCACTTGGTAATGAGATTATTTAACGCCCAGTTATGTATTTCATTCACAAAGTGTGGACGTAGGTGGAAGGAACGGGTTCTGATGCAAATGAACGCGAAAGGGAAGTCATCTGCCCACGACAGCTCTAACACTCGCTTATTTACACATATGTTGCACCATTGAATAAATATCACATCACTCGGCTCAATGGTCTGACGAATGCTTAATGCTCGCAGGTTTTATTCAGAAGCTTGAATTTTAATAGACCGATGATCAGAAAATGTGACAGGAATGGGTCACGAGTAGAGTCCTGGAGCACACCTGGCTAGACTGTTTGGCAACAAGTGGATTTATGGTGCTTTGATGGGTCATAAAACCGACAAATTGTCAACTAATCGATGTTTTGTCGAAACGAAGTAAAAGTAAAGATTTACATAAATTAAGATCCAATCGCTAACACTTCAAAATTATTACAATTGTTTATCAAGCAAGTAATTATTATGTCGGGTAATAATTACAGCAATTAGGCCGATAAAACTAAAACTGTTTACAAATACTGGACGCTATAACCTCTTTGATGGTGTCTAGTTTTGCGAAATGTTAACCAAGTCTTTAGACAAAAAAATCGAGGTCACAAAACTATCAATAATGGACGCCAAATGTGCAACAATTCCCAGCGTTTAAGGTCATTAGCACGACAATTAGCTGTAATTATTGTATTTTTTGTCAGTTTTATGTATAATAAAAAGCTTCTTGGGCTTGAGATAATTTGAAATCTGTTTTTTCTTTAAATGGAAATTACCAAGTCAAAATTTTGGTCAAAAATTGGTAGCAGCAAATTTTTTTGCTGTATTATGATTTTCAAAAATTCGACATTTATTAGTCTTTTTATAATTCAGCTGAACAAAATCTGGCTTTTTGGGGTCTGCTTTATGTTTTTCTCAAAAAGAAAGTTCAAAAATCAGTATTTTCACTGTTACTTTTTTAAACAACGTTTTAAAAACATTTCACTACTATCTTTATGACACTTATTTTTTAATATACTATTATATATAAAAAAATATACTATTATTTAAAAAAATTCATAATTTTCAGTTTATTCAGTTTTCAAATTAATGGGACAAGATTTTAAAATTTTCTGCGGTATTTGACCTCAAATTTTGTTCCAATTAGAAATTCAAAGCAGAACGATTTTCAAAAATGTGACATTTGCTACCGTTTTTTTCATCAACAAAATTACTTCAGATGGACAAAATCTGTCATTTTTCAAGTTCTTTTTAAAATAAAGTTGAAAAAGAGGACAAATATAAAAATGACTTAATGATTTCTTTTAGCAAAATCTCTCGGTTTAAGCGAGTTTCTGGCTCACTTATTGAAATGTTTTCCTTTGGATCAAATTTTCACTCAATAGGATTTTCCATTATAACTTTCGATTACTTTTCCAACTGAATGTTGAAATAAAGTTTGTTTTTTCTTTAAATGGAAATTACCAAGTAAAAATTTTGGTGAATAAAATGGTACCAGCTTGTCTCCATAGCCACAAATTTTGTTTGCTCTTTCTTTTTGTCCCTAGAAATTACTTAAAGTCTAAAGACAGAATTCAGTGCTAATAATTTTGATAGAAACACACCGCAAGAAAAATTTTGAAGAAAAAGCATGTATATACAGAAAAAAGTTATTTAGCAAAAAATACAAGTAAGTATTAAGATGATTGGCAATACATTTTGTGTAATTTATTGAAATGAGCTCAAAGTTGATGCATTTTATAAATTCTTCTTCAACTTTAGTTTCAAAATTGTTACTTTTTCAACTCGTTCCTCAAGACACTAATTTAATTGCGTTTTTCCGAGGTTCTTTCTCAATCATATTTATTTTGTATTCTTGTCAATTTCTTGTTAAAAATTGAGAATGTTTAGCAAACCTGCATTACAAATTGCGTCTACATTTTAACGGGCCCTTTTTCTAACTTCCTGCTTGCGAACTATTCGTTTCCAAATTTCTAAAAAATGTTGGTGTTTCG